TAACTATACGTGGGAAGTGCCTGCATGTAAGAAAGGCCACAATGTCTTTATAATGACTCAGTGTTTGCAGTGGGTCGTTCCATATTTCATGAGCCAGCAGGGGAGGAGAGGGAGGTCCAGGACTATAAGCTTTTAGCTCCGATTCAATTACAAATTGAAAATACCTTCACCTTGTGAGGATTACACTGCACAGCTGTCGATGGCAACAATAAAAGGGTAGAGCAGAAACCAAGTCAACTGGGGCATACGGTGAAAGATAATTTACATTTAATTTACTAAATTTCCTGACCAGAACAATTTTTTGTTTTATTTGGGTTCTCAGCTAGACTTTTTGAGTGTAAAATAGTAAATATCATCAGGGACCAACCTGATTTAAAACATTTATAAATTAGCACATGTTGTCCGACAGCAGTGTCTAACTTCACTTCCGCCGCTTCTCCTGTTAACATGGTAAAGCCCTCCAGAGCGTCCGGGACCAGGCTACACGTGGTACCAATTAGCCAATGAGCTGTGTCGATCAGGGTCACTGCTGCTAGCAACTTTTAGAGAAAGCAGGCAAAACGGGTGATGGGAAAGAAGGAGAAGACGATGACAAGAAGAAAGCAGAGAAAGCACAGACTGTTGGAAGAACTGCGGTGAACTGGTGACAGAAAAGTGAAATAAATGGTGTAATCAAAGATGACCTGCATATTTTGAGTATGTTTGACTCATCCTACTGCAGTGAAGCAGGATTCTCTATCATGACCATAATCAAAAATATAGTGAAATAATATCTATCCAGGTTCACTAATGAGCACCATTATATGTGCTTGAGAAAGGCTTTGACGCCATTCAAACCAAGGTTTAAAGCCCTGCAGGGCAGCCTAAAACCCACTTATCTCATCAAGTCATACAAAAAGAGAAAAAAAACCCAAAAACAAACAGTTAGTTCAGGTGTTTTATAAAATATGTAATTGTTCTCTACTTCAAAAAACACTTAAGATTTTATAATGGAAACATTTTATTTTCTTTTTTTATATATATATTTTTTTATTTAAAAAGTCAATGTATAACATTTTATGTCAGTGTTAAATTCTGTTTAAAGTAACAGATTATAATTAAAAATGTCTCCAAACCTTTACTGGTTGTTGGTTTTCTTTATTCGGACACTGCTGATTTTTAATTGGTTACCCCTTGATCTATACTTATGCATCCTTTTACAATGTAGCATGAATTTTACTGCTTTTAATATTTCAACTGTTCCAGGTAGCATTTTTTGCATATGTGAACAAATATATGTATAGCTGCATATATATATATATATATATATATATATATATATATATATATATATATATATATATATATATATATATATACTCTGTGTAATATACATTTTTTGCCATGACTTTATAGAAGGAAATAAATGTCACTAACAATGATTATTTCAATGTTTGCTTAATGTTCAATCTTTGTTGATGCCTGAGGGGTGCAGTTTTAGGAAGTCCTTTTGCTCTTCACCATTATAGTAGAATCAACAGTTTGAAGGGAAGAATATTGCGATATGACACGTGCATTTGTTACCATTCCCATGCTTTAAAAGCTGATATGATTGCGGAAACGATTACCTTTGGCACACGTTGCAATCACACGGGGTCAAAGGGTGGTAGAAAGTGGGAATATAACCTTAACGCATGCGCAACAGCATGTTTAAAGGTCACATGGAAAGGGAGCCCAAATGTCAGCCAATGAGCTTATCTGGCTCGACAGCAATTGACCAATCAGTGATTGTAATTTGAAGAGTGAGGTAGCCCTCCCCAGCAGGAGCTCCCTCCGACAACATTTACAGGATTTTGCATTAGGTAGGCAAAGCGGAAAAGGGAAGATTGCTCAAAAAGACAATGAATATAAGGCTAAATGTAGACACACATTACATACATTACCCAAAGTATCTAGAGGGTGGCAAACAGTTTTATTCCAGTGCCAAAAAGGGATATTGGAAAGTTTAAAAGATAGAAGATTAGAAGAGACTAACTTAATGAGCAGCTGAACACAACAAAGACATTGGTTAATCAATATTGATGTTAATAAACAAGGAGCTAATGGTTGTTCATATTTATGTAGATAACAATCATTCCATTGCTTTGTCATAATTACATTGATGGCTTACATTTAACTTGCTTGCATTGCTTTATTAATTACACACACGGGAACCCTAGGTTCAGCATTGTGCTTCACTATATTCCTGTATAAACCATCCTTACTAACTTTGTTGGAGCTTTGCTCACACTGGCTTACTTCCCTCATAGGCAGAGCGATCTTGCAGTTAGAATTACCCTGTCATTGCTAATTCAAATACTATTAATATCATCGCAATTAAAAGGTAAGTGGTAAGTAGCCTGCAATTTTATAGCACTCTTTAATGTCAGGTGACTCCAAAATACTTCACTTTACATTGAATTATTTACTCACTGATGGTGGTACACTATAGCCACAGCCGCTCTGGGTCACAGTGACAGACGCAAGGCTGCTGTACATACTCTCTGTATGAACGGCAAACTTGGTGGCAAAAAAACCATCTGCTTTGCTGATTTTCTTCAGAATTGGCTTAATATCTCCAGTAATCCATCTATGTATAGATCTGCTACGAACAATATTCGTAAACTGCTAAAATAACATGAATTAGACAGTAACTATGATGTATCTTTCTGGGTTTTTTCCAAGTATTCTGACATCCAGTGCTGGGAGAGACTTTGTCCTGTTAGCAGTGCTTTGAAATACCTGGTTTTGGTTGCTCCCAGTAGCACGTTAAAACTAAGCCCCATCAATTGTGTTACCATACAAAAGCCATCCCCATCTACAATGCTAGCATTTCTTTTCCTATCATATTATAAACATTTTGCATAAAGCCTCCACTTTTCTATGGACAAACCTTTGCCTTCAAAGCCCAGCATAGAAACTGATTCTGTTCCACCATGCAGCACGGCAAAATAGGGGCTATTTAGGAGTTAATAAAGTGTTTATAATTACAAACAAAACAGTTTGTTCTCAATTAATGTACTCAATTACTCTAATGAAACGATTTCTAATCTAATCAACCATTGACAGTTAATATTTGTTAAGAAGTTATACTTGTGTGAAAAAAAAAAAGTTTCCTTTGCTTTTGAAAACATTTGTAAATAAAATATTGTATTTAATTAGTTCTGTAAAAGTATAACACACCTTGTTTCACTGATCTCACATGTGCTATAATAATCTGGAGAATATTTCACAAAGAAGAGTTTTTAATAAAATGAAGAACATTATGATCAACAGCGAGCATCCTCTTCGGAAGAGTGTTAAACAACAACAGGGTATTTAGTCAAAGGCATCCAGAGATCCAGTGCAAGACAGACAGATACAGAAAGATCCCTCCTGCCTACAGCTTTTAACATCTACAACATTAACAATTAATTTCCCTTTGGGATTAGGACAGTATTTTTTAAGTGGATTTTGAGTATCTTAGAAAAATGAAAAAAATTAAAATAAATGGTCTTGGGTATTTTGCAACAATTACATTGCTGATAAATATTGATAGAAAATACTCCCATCTGCATTTGACTGTTAACCAAATTATCATGGATTGTCGTCACATTAGTTCCATATGGGAATCTTAAAGAGATTTATACCACCTTAGTTGGACTAACTTGTTACTTGTGTGAACTGATTTCCCTTGTGTTTGACCAAGCAACTGATGTATAACCTAAATAAGAATGTACAAGTCACTGTAGTAGTTGCTTTGTCCACCACTGAGTAATACAATTGCTACAAGGCTTAACAGTGCCTATACTCATCCCATTTTCTGATTTAAATGATCATTTTCACTGGTCTACAATAGTTTTGATTCCACTATTACTGCTAAGTAACAACTTCACTTATTCTACTTTTTCAAATTTGGTATTTTCTGAAATAAGTTTTTTTTAAAAGGTGTAATTTATAGGAAATGTTTTGACCAACTACCATACATTTACTTTTTTCATTATAAATAACCAGCTTTTTTATTTTTGAAAATTCAAATTATGTGGTGTCATCTGCATATAGCCAGATTTTCAACACCAATGGCAAATCATGAAAATAAAGAGCATAAAGAGGTCCCAAACAACTGCCGTGGAGCACTCCACAATCCATCAGTACAGTTCAGGATAAATAACATTAAAATAAATGTTATACTATCAATTATTTTAATAATAATCTATAAGAATTTGACTTTTCCAAAAGATTTTTTTTATTTAAACTATTAAAAGCAGCCTAGATTTGCAAAACCTTAACAAGCTTAAATGCCTGTAGCTGTCAAAAAAAAAAATACGTGTATACAATGCTGACTCAAGATCTTTCAACAGACAGGTGTTTCTTAAATATGTGTAGATGAGAAGTTAAATTTGTTTTAAAAAAATGTTAATGCAACTTAGGAGAGCCTGATCACAGCGTAATTTGGACAACTGACAGTGTAATGGCCAGTTACGCAGAAATGCACTGGTAAGAACCCTCATTATTTTTGAACAGTTTGAACAACGTAATGAGATGTCAAAGAGAGTTCTGGATTGACCGGAGTTTTGCTTGGCAGAATGGAGAAAACCTACCATCATGCTGCCACATCCTCAAAAGACTACTGAACAGTTTCTTCCCCCTGGCCATCAGACTGCTTAACGCCACATAACTTTTGTGCAATGACAATAAAGGAAGTCTAAGTATAAGTCTAGTCTAAGTCTAAGCAGAAACCTGCATCCCCAGCTCATTCCTCTCTATTCCCTCACACCATTACAGATAAGGCATGTAACCGTTATTTCAGGCTAAACAACTTGTGTCTTGTCCGACACCATTAATATTTCAATTCAGTTTCAATTTCAATTCAGTTTATTTATATAGCGCCAAATTCACAACATATGTCATCTCAAGGCACTTTACAGTTTAATATTTAAACTCTAGTGCAAAAAGAACCAAAAAAAGTATGTATTATATGAAACTAGTAGAAGAAAACATACCCCAGGGTACTGATGAAACCATTGGTGGATCCTTCTGCGTACAGGGAGCAGATGTCCCCAATGTGCAAGAAGCTGGACATTTTATCCGACATGTTTGACACCAGTAAGAGAGCACCTGGAATCAGAATCAGAATCAGAAATACTTTAATAATCCCAGAGGGAAATTACTTTTGTGACACGCTCCAGTTACAGTTTTATATAATATATACACACATCCAACTATACAATATAATAAAGATAAAAATAGGAATAAAAGAGATCAAATATATACACATATAGCTCTTTTGTATATATATCTGTACGTATATTTATGCATATGTAAAATCTAAATCCAAATAAGTGAAAATCCAAGTAAAGTGATAAATCCAAGTAAAGTGAATGAATACAAGGATACATATAAAATAAAAGAATAAATATTGAGCAACTTTAGTTGTGAAAGAGTTTGAGTGAGATGTAAAAACAGTCCAAACATTTCTTAAGCATTCAGGTTTCCAGGCCCTTTAGGTGGTTTTCCATGAGACATGTAGTGGACAGAGCAAATATGAGAGAAGGTGTTCCAGTCAGACTGGACCAAAGTCGTTTTAAATCTAAATACAAACTATTGTGAGGGTAAAAAGTAACACTGCAGCTGGTGACAGGGGGAGGCTCTTCTGCAGCAGGAAGCTTATCAGGGTTGTCTAGAAGATGGATAGGGTTAAACACAGGGGAATCCAGGGAGAACACTTACCCTGGGTCACCAAAATTTTGAGAATTGCGTGTCTACGAACCACCAGAGCTGCAATACTAAAAGTTATATAAAAGTATACTATGTGATAGACCAAAACTGGATCAAACTGACCAAAAATAAGGAGAAAGGAAATAGATCCCATACATTTAGATTTATTATGTAAAAAGTGTTTTTTTTTCTCCATTTAAGAGTTATCCACTCCTATGTGTTGATCTTTATCCAGGGGCGGAGCTAGATGGGGGGCCACCCTCAGCCATTCAGTGGCCACCCCTAGCATTTTTTTTCCGCCCACAGTGGCAGCAGTAATACATTCAAGGGAAATGTTCAAACTTATTAAACATTTGAATTTTATATATATTAACAACTACTTGACAACTAAAACGCTGTGTTTTGCACATGAAAATACTAATAATTTAGGTTGATATATATACAGAATTCATGCTCTTTTCAGAACTACATTTTTGTATTATATGAAGTAAAGAGAAAATTATGTCTCTGCAAGTCATCTAGTGAAATCATAGATACATAACTACTTTAACAATAACTTAAAAATCCATTTAATGTAGATATTAGTACATATATGTTTTATGCAGAACAATTTTTGTTAAAAAATTGATTAGCAGTGTTGGGCACGTTACTTTGAAAAAGTAATTAGTTGTAGTTACTAGTTATTTCTACCAAAAAGTAACTGAGTTACTAACTGAGTTACTCCACAATAAAAGTAACTAGTTACTAGTAAAAGTAACCATTGCGTTACTTTTGCATTTCTCGCCCCCGTAACCCTCACCACCCGGCCACCACCTTCTCGCTGTGTGTTTCCAAAGCCACTTGAATAGAGTGGACAACAAAGACAAGTACCTGCAGAGAGCTTTGCATTTATTGTAACTCAAAGTAAATGACATCAGGGTGGAACGCTACCCGTCCGGTATCTGATGCGGTGTAAATATCATCAGGCTGCATTACCTCGAAGTTTTTTATCAGGGTGTTCAGATCTGGAGAGTAAATGAAATTAATAACTGTGGATGTCTAATTCTGAAATCCTGTGTGTTTGGGTTGTTATAGATACTCCATCCATCCATCTATCCATCCATCCATCCATCCCGATTTCTCCCTTTCTCCATATAGGCTAACATTTGATCGTTCACGCTCTCCATAGTTCCCCTGTGGCGCCAGCACAGGGCAGTTGTTACGCGCCTTTAGTGAGCATGCGCGTTTCCTGTCGCTTGCGAGATGAATCGTGCCGCCTGCACTGTGCAGAGATGCAGGGGAAACGGTATCTGATGGGGAAACGCAGCTCGACGTAACATCGGTATTTCCATGTGGAAAACCCTGCTTTTCTGCTGGAGTCCTCCTCACTCTCTATCTCTCTGTGCGTGCTGTACGTTAACACCTGTCAGCAGAAACACCCACCTACCCAACTGACAGATGTAATCTCACTATGCATCAGCCATTCTCATCCTCCCCTCTCTCATTACAAGGCGCGCCCGAGTCCTATCATTAAAAAGGTTAATTATGCGACCTGAGTAACGTGCAGTAACGGGGTGTCGGCAATGGTAACTGCGTTACAGTTACAAAGTAATTAGTTAGATTACTCCTTACTTTCAATGCCGTTACACCTATCACTTTTGATTAGTCAGCACAGATGTTTAAATATATCTATTTGTTAGGAAAGGTTGTAGGAAAGTATGGTTAGTTTTTATTTACAAAATACAGATGTTGTGTTCATTCCTTTTGGAAAAGTGTAGATTGATCCTAAGGTTCTGGTGCCTATCCTCTTTCGGCCACCTTTATTAAAATTTTCTGGCTATCTGGCTACGCCTCTGTCTTTATCCAAAATACACTTTGTGGTTGAAAACATGTCAGTGAGAGCAAGGAGTGGATTTCCCAGAGACTGACAGAACCCTGCATGGCTGGGTTGATTTGCATATTAGCGGCAGGAAATGAAAATTCTCCATCGTTACAGTAACCTGTTGGTGTTGCTTTGCAGCGTTAAAGTTTTGGGGGGGCACCTATCAGGAAAGGTTTCTGCACCTGCAAACAGCTCACCCCCGCCGAGGCTGCCTGCAGGAATCTGACCAATTCAGAAAAAATAAAAACGAGCGGTAAATAATCAGTAAAAACAACAGAGTTCAGGGAACCGTTTGCAGCGAGCAAGGAGGGCGGAGAAAATGCGCATCAAACTGAAGCGATGCTTTGTTTCAGCCTGAAAACTCTGTAAAACTTTTGCAAACGCTGCTCCCAATGCTTCATGATGTCTAGGTGGTGCTTATTTCTGGGTAAACTAGTGAGTTTGTAAAAACAATCAGTCCTCAGCCTGGAGCTCACCATCTAAGGAGGAAACATCTCTTTCTCCGCTAAGAAAGGATCGCTGAAAGGAAGAGAGGATAAACAGAGAGTTGTGCGCTCAACTTTACCTCAAGCTCAGGCGATCAGCTTTCCTCCAACTAGAACAGCCAGCATGACTGTGGCAGACTTGTTCCCCAGAAGCAGAGACAGATCCAGCCGTCAGCGGCTCCAATAATCGGCGTCTGCGTCCTCTGCAGCAGGCAGCGGCACTGGCTGAGCTGAGCTGAGCTGCCACTTCTTCCTCTTCTTCTGTTTAGGCGCCTGCTGTGTTGATAGCTGGGAAATGTGGTTTCATTTTACCCCAAAGTAATCTGAGTCGCTGATGCGTCTTTATAAACAGCGTGTTTGATTTAAAAAGGGTGGTCCATAGATTATAAAACATAAAATTGTTAGGTTTCTGTTTCTGTTATGTTTTTCTTTTGATATTCAGGTTTGCTTTGCTCTTTGCTTTATTTGTTTTTATGGTTTTGATGTGTTCCTTGTTTTTTTTCTTATTTACTGTCTAAGTCTTGGTTCTGTTATATTTTCTTTTTAGTGTTCAGTTTTGCTTTACTCCTTGTTTTCTGGTGTTAGTGGTTTTATTTGTATTTTGCTGTGTTCTCTAGTTTATTCTTAGTTACTGTTTCAGTCTTTGCTCTGTTATGTTTTTCTTTTGAGTGTTCAGTTTTTTCCCCTTATGTTTTATAGTCTTAGTGGTTTAATTCTTTTGTTTTTTCTGGCTTCTGCTGCCCTCTTGAGTTCTCATTTTTTCCCTAGCTCCTTTCTTGTTTCTGCTCTCCTCACACCTGCTCCCAATCTGCTCGTTAACCCTCTCTTTGTTTCAGTCTCCTACAAATATTCTCTCTGCTCCGTTCTTCTTTGCAGGGTGCTTGTCTTGTCTAACTTTCTCCTACTCCGTCTCTCATTTTCTCATTTTGGGTCATCTATCCACTACCAAATCCTGACAAATTTGCTACTTTTTTTTTTACGATTGGATTTTCTAAGCTGTAAATATTTTTAACATTCGAGCACAAAGAGTATGAAATTATATGTTATTTACATTTTATCAGTATTGAAACCAGCCATCAAGTACTGTAGAGTGAGGACCTGCAGCAGTGAATTGTCAATCATCTGTGGGATTTTTGCAATTAGATTTGAATGGAATCCGGCTCCTTTTTCACCACAACAGACTGGTGCAGTGCAATGGCATAAATATCGGTAAGCAGAGACTGCAGTTGCTTAGGGGCCCCCGACCTCTTAGGGGCCCCGTCACTGACTCCTGTTACGCAATTGTGCACTAAGACGTCTTATTGCAGATGTAATGGTTTAAGAACAAATAAAAACAAATGTAATGATATAAAAGGAGTAGAAATATATAAATAAATCTAAACAATGTATGTATAAAAAATAAATCTGCCAGTTCAACAACAAAATACACTTAGTTAAGCAAATTGTACAAAATAGCAATTAAAAGATAAAAAACATATCAGATTTATAGTCGCCACACTGCAGATATATTAGAATCTGTCCTTAAAATACAGCCAAACCCATTTCCACAGTAACAGATAAAAACCTTTCAATAAACCAAATATTACCCACCAGATATCTGACTCAATAACCATTTAAAAAACATTTTTCTTTAGTTTTAGACGGAACTATTAACATACTTGGATTAAATTATCTGCCCTTACAATATCCGCCACTGTCTGGTGCCAAGTACCTTTTTTCTCTGAGCACGGAGCAGCCTGCTTGCTTGGACTCGCAATGAATCATGGAAAATCCATGGCTACGTAGGATAAACTGGACCTGTGATAAAGCGGACAAAAAAAAAGGATGCATTTGTCAGCCGCATAATGAGGAGTCTTGCAATTCGAACAATCCTCGGTGCCGTGCAATGACATAATCAGCATACGAATCTGACCTTCGGATAACACAGCAGATGGAATCAAACTCAGTAATAGACTCCTCCGTTTGAGACAGGAACTTCCCTGATGTAAATAAGATTTCCCTCTCTTCCGTGCTTTATATTTAAATCTACCTGAGCTGATATGCTTTTGGAATTAACAGATGTGGTCTGTTGGGTGTCTTGCCTGGTGAAAGATTAAAAAAATGCATTCAAGGCAGTTTCTTTGAATCTTAATCAAATGTCAAGTACCAATATTCTCTTTGGCTTTTTAATTCAGAGAGCTGCCTCTTTTAGCTGGTTTGTAAGTGTACAGAAATAGGCTATCAGTGATGTTTCAGGGCACAGGATTTTCTTTCAGCAAGCATAAAAACTGGAATTCCATCCACCATTCTCTATTCTTCATTTTACAGAAGTCTTAAAATTTCTATCAGTGTTGATACAATCCATATGCTTTCTCATGGATTTCTAATAAAGGGGTTTTCTTCAATGTGTACCTTGAACTGAAATAGTTAATCTGACTAGTTTTTATGTGGTTTTGATATTCAGATCTTTATTTTGACCATCAGTCCCATTTCCCTAAAAGTGTCAGATTGATGTTCATGTCCTTTTGATGTCATTGATTTAGCATAATATCACCTTGGTATTTATTCACTGTTAGTTCAAACGTCTCCTTGTTGTCTTGGTTTGACTAATTATCAGAGGAATGGAGCTGTCCTTTTGTTTTCTTTTTGAATTTTTGAAATTTACATTGAAAATGAATTGATTAGCCCCCAATTTCCTAAAAGTAACAACTTCTTACCAGTATGAATAATACCAGAATCAACACCATACAAAAAACATTTAACTGTTTATAATTGTAGTTTGCACAAACAGCCTCAAAAACAAATGCATTTGCTTTTGAATATTTCAAGGGGATCTGTTTAAATACCAAATCATAAATATACTTCACCAAAAGTTATTTTATTGCTATTTAATTTCTGTAGAGGATCTCAATACCCCAGATTTTAATCCCTAAACCCTAAAAGGGAATTACTGAATTAGAAATGGCTTGTTACTGGTTATTCTGTGGACTACATATGTCAAAATAGTTGTATTTTAGAGAGATTTATACACGAATTGACCAAAGTCTGTACAGGTCAATGCAAATAAAAGAAATAAAGACATAAAATAAGCAATAAAATCAAATACAAAATCTACATCAGTAAGGTGGTAGAAAAGTAAAAATTAAAACAATACAAATATTTAAAAAAATAAAACTTTCAATAAAAACAGATTGATATTTCAGCTAAACAAGTAGTAGAAGTCAGTTATATAAACAATCATCCTAAGTACCTTAGACTTTTGACCCTCTAAGACACAGCCCCTCCTCATTTGTATAATGAGGCAGAAATGCACACTGAAATGTAAAAAACGACAGGCAGAAATAAATAGTGTTGAAGAAATAAATAGGGTAAAAAAAATACAAAGGAAGAATAAAACAGACAAAAATATTATAACATGCACAAAAATAAATACTTAAAGAATAAGTAATACATAAATAAAGTTGAAGATTACAACAGACAATAAATAAATAAGGTAATTATTACAAAGGTGAAAAAACAAAGAAGCTAATTAAAGAGATGTCTTATTGTATAATTTAATTTCTATCTAAATTTATTGGCTTATTGTGTTTTTGGGGGCAATTAATTGTATGCTTATTTTTTTTTTTTTTTTTTTTTGGAGGATTTATTTATTTATGTATTTATTTTTAATTATGGCAGGATTGGTCCTCCATTTATAGACGCCTTCGGTCATGAAAGGGTTACTGTTCATCCTGTGAAACCAGCTGACCTCATCACGTGACTTTGCGGAAGTCAGAACAATAACAACATGAGGAGAGCCTGACAGGAAGGGAATTGCCAGAATGGTGCGGTGTTTTATCTTGCTTTTAGCGGTATTGTTTGTCCTTGTAGCAGTAAGTCTCCAGAGTTCATGCGGAGGAGATGAGGAGCCCGCCTCCCCGGAGGGAGCAGCGGGCTGCGGCTGCGATAAACTGCGGAGAGCCGCACCTGGTGCTGAGGACCCGGAGGAGGAGAAGGAGGAGCAGAGAGCATCCAGAGAACCCGCTGTGAAATATACTGCAGCGGCTAACGAGGGGATATCTGAGGTTAGTTCATCGGCGTCGCCAGACCCCATTTACTGGGGCACGTGCCCCAGTATAAATGAGCAGTGCCCCAGTATAAACCTCATGAATATTTGCAACAGTGATACATTTTTTTAATGCATCAATTTAGATAATTCCAACGGGAGGAGTCGTATATTTCTACTCAAATGCGCAGCAAGTGTGTTGGTAACTCCAAATTGAGGATGTAATAGCGCCCCCACGTCGGCGCATGTCACTGCATGAACTGCAGGTAAACTAACGCGCTGCTCTCAGCTGAGTTGGATGGGACATTGTGCGGTCACGACGCATTTTTAGTTCTGGTAACGTTTCTTACCCGTCAATTTTATTATTTTCCCAGTGAAACCACATGATTTATTTATAGGCTACTAACTGAAAATTACTGCATTGGTTTGTAGATGGATATCAGGAAATTCCTCACACGAAGCAGAGACAGGGAAGCAGTAAAACAAGATGAGAGAGAGGGAGGTAAGGTCCCGTGATGAATTAGTGATTTAAGCTAAGCAGTTACATTAGGGACGTTATAAGCAATATGATAGATATTTACATAATTCTAAATTTACGTTTTTTAATGTTTGCTGTAGAGAATGAGAATGAAGGTGCTGGAGTAGAAAAGGGAGGAGGAGGCGAGAATGACAGGCAAGAGACAGGTGAAGGACAGGAGAGACAAGTGAGACAGGTGAGAGACAGGAGAGACAGGACCATGAAGGTGATGAGGGAGCAACAACCAGCGTCCCCAAACAAGAAGGAGATATTAGTGACTTAGGGGGAAACATGATGGTCCTAAACAAGTGAAGTTGTCCCACTATCCCCAGGACAAATTTGGAGTTAAAAAAACTTTCATTTAATTCAAAATGGTTTGAAAGCTTTGAATGGTTGAAAAAGAAATCCTTGTTATCAAGGATATGCAGTGTGTTTTCAACTTGCTTGATAACATCATGTTCCCAACACCAACGCAGGTCATCCAGATCTCCCTCACAATCCCAGTCAACAGCTGTAGTTGTGAAAGGTCATTCAGTGTGTTGAGAAGGCTCCACACTTGGCTGAGGTGCACAATGGGACAAGACAGGCTCCAACATCTTGCTATTTTATCAGTTGAAAAGGAAGAACTTTCTAAGCTGAGTCAAAGTCTAGTGATTGACCGCTTTGCAAAAATGAAAAATAGGAGGTACACTTTAATGCTCAAAAAATAAAGAAAAACTTAGTTCAG